TTTCCTTTCCACATTTCAATATTCACTTGAAAACGACGATGAGCACGAAGTACTGCACCCAATCGCTGAAATCATTTCTTCATAAAACAAAGCTCATTTGTCCATAAAATAGAGGTGGATTTTTTCGTATCGCTAGAGTTAATAGTCGAAGCAATAGTGTTCGGAATCTTAGTAAAAAGTAGCAATTCAACGTAAATGATGAAGGGAAGCCTGGCATTCATCAATTGCCACTGACACTGGGAAAGAAAGTTTTTTTTTCAAAGATATTGGCGATACGACAAGCGACTACCATTGAAAAAATACGAAAACTGTAGTGGTTGGTAGAGAATAAGAAGTACTAAGAATACTCACAGGTTCAATATCCACAAGGATAATGTCCCGCTCGGGATCGGTGCTGTTCAATCCCTTTACGGATTGGCGCACTTCCTCTGGGGCAAAGTTGAAGTTTGGCAATGAGATCATGATTGGAGGTTGACCTGAAATGATGATTACATTTTACAGTTCAAACTAAACTTTCACCCGGAACTGATTGAGGGGAAAACGAACACTCCCACATTTGAAAGGGCACGCATGTCTGCTGGGTGCGTGTATGTCGGCCAGCCACAAAATCGGGAAGTCACCTTGTTCAGCCCCAGAAAGGCAATGGGGTAAAATCCACGAAGTCGGAACTATGCTAAAGCGAATTCGATCAACCATCAATATCTAGCTGTCTACAATTCACCTGGGTAGGTAATGGAGGTGGGCACGCAAATAAAACTCCAATCTAATGATTTTAATCGACTTTGGTCGATCTATATCAATCGGGGTTATTATTTGCTGCTCCGAGTACAGCCAAAAGTTGGATGGTAGAAGCTGGACACCCAGTAAAATAGGTTATCGATTGAAACTTGAAGCAGCCCTCCCGAAGGTAGTGGGCGTAGGGAAAAACCAATAAGCCAGGAAATTGAGTGATGATATCTTCAAAATACATAAACGGTGAAATCGTACTTCGCAGACATTTGCTAATTTCAAGCAATCCTTCCGGGAAACAGTCATCGGTCTCGTTCTGTGATTCAAAGAACTTCTGAAATCATTCACTTCTGCAAACTGCTGTGATACAAACAAGGTTTCCCTTTACTCAGCGAAACTACCTTGTCAGTAGGATTACAGAAGCCATCATTTTCAGGGATTTTCGGATCAAAGACGGCAGGAGGTACTATGAACCGGTAGGCCGGCACTCCTTCGTATTCTACTTCTTTTTCAAATTCGAGCCATATTGTTCTGAAAATTGACACTGCTGGAATGAGTTCCTCTGAGAAAGCCTTGACGTGCAGAAAAGCATTGCGCTATACCGTCTACCAACAGGTTTCAAACTAATTCTAACTAGTATCCCTCCAACTTTATCCCGAGCGCAGGTTGTTAAACGAGACTCACACAAGAAGATAAAAAAGACTATCATGTACAATGACTGGCAGGAGAACAATTAGCAGAACCGGCCAAATTATTAAAAAAGCGGCAAAAAACGCTTGAACCCAATAATTTTTCTTCACTTCTAGTAATGGCGTCGAAATATGTGGACTAATAAAAATAATGATTGCTTCATTTATACTGCGCGTTGTCCGACAGGCGACGAGCGAGTAGAACGCGGAGTATGAATGCACACAGTGGGAAATAATGTCTACTTAGGGGTTTTAGTAGCCTCTACATATTTCCCACCTCACTCGAGCGGATGAACGTACTGCTTGGTACAACCTCTATAACTGTGAGGAGCGTAATAATGGCAGCAAAAAAGGAATACCTGCAGAGTTGGGCAATGAAGACGTAGAGTCT